AGGTAGGGCGAAGGTAGGGTATGGGGCTCAGGGTTTGGTGTGTTGGTTTAGGGTTTAGAGTATAATGCTTAGGGTTTAAGGTTCTGGGGCTGTTGGGGCCCCCAGAAAGCTTGGAGCCCCCGTCAAGAAATGATTTATAGCCCAGCCAAACATGCAAACATACAAAGGGAGAGGACCCCTAGGAATTCTTCAAGGTGTGACGTTCTCTTGTAAGACGGTGAAGGTTAGAGCAATTCTCAGACAGGCGTGTCAAGCCCCCTTGAGCACAATTCCCCCGTGGCACCCAAAGACGGGGGAGGATGCTTGCTAGAACCGCTGCCCATACCGCGGGCATGGAACCAAAACTGGGGCTCACAGAACTCAGCTACTGTTAGCACAGTGCGGGTTAAGAGTTCTGCATACTTCCATATTCCTGCATACGAGAGCGTATGTCAAAGGCACCATGCCCCCAATATTAAGGGAGGTTCTACAACCAGAGCCCAATATTAGGCCCAAGTACAGGAGGAAAGTTTCCAGTGGGGTGCTTTATATAGCGGCTAGATAAGCGGTATTAATGCCAATGGGAGTTACATGTTGGGTACGTAAGGCTTATGTAAGGTCCCTTTGGTAACACCCCTCCTGTAATCGCTTGAGACCATAGTTCTGAGACACTCTTCCCCTAAACCCTAAACCCTGACCTGGCCAAGGTCAAGCAACCACACCCAGCGCTCCAGTAGAGCTGGAGGGCTTGTTGCGTACTGCCCCGTACTGCCCCCACCCCGTCAGAGTCTATAATGGGGGGTCGGTTTCGGGTTCAGGGCTTCGGGTGTTTTTTTCTCGGACCTTTTCTCCATGGCCTGAGATCAGGGGTTTAGGGTTCAGGGTTTAGGGCTTAGGGTTTGGGGTTTGCGTGAAATATACCTATGATATAAATTTGGTGATGAATATTATCTAGCTGTTTCAGAGGGGGGGGCAGTACCCAAGGTACTGGGGTTCTAAGAATCAGGGTACGAGCTTCGTGTTCCTCGTTTATGAGAGGCCTACTATTTGCAAGCAAAACTCTTCAGTGAATCAGTCAGAAAACCACAAACACCTGAGCATCCAAGGTGAAATGTCGTTGCCACGTATGTTGGATACTCCGGATACAGGTGTGCGGAATGTCTGGGAGCCTTGTCACCAGTTTTTGACGCCTCCAACCAAACTGCGTTTCCAGCTTTCCTGGACGCCTCAACACCCTGAAAACCCGAAAAGGTCGGCTTAGGAAGCGGTAAAAACACAAAAGGCTTTGCCTACCCTGACAATGTTCCCAGCAGCCTAAGCCCTAGCAGCAGGATATTTGGTACTTCAGCCAATTACAAAACTCTAGTGTCATCCTTAGTAGTAACTATGAGGGACTATAGGATTTTACCTGGTCATAGAACCTCGAACCCTGAACCCCTGGATCTTACCCTACCTGATTTGCTGCAGAAAGTATGGTTCCTGAAGCTGAGGCTGCTGCAGAAAGAGGATCCAAGCTAGTCTCCTCCTGACAGCGGGGAGCGGGTGTTGGGGCCACACCATTAAGGCAGTCTGAGTGGGTTCAGGGTTTAGGGTTTAAGGGGCATGTCAAAGAGAAAAGCTTCCAATGACGGAGCTCATTATGGGGGGGCATATAAGCGCGGTATAAGCTTCTGAGGAGTTATAGAGGGGTAGATAAGGCTTGTGTAAGTTCCCCTCTCGGACACTCTCCTCCTGTTGTTTCCGTAGACAAGAAGGACTGTAATGTAAAGCATGAATAACTACCAATGCCAGTGACCTATGATCCTTGCACTACATAACCGCGGTTTACAATTTCTGAAACCATCCGGAAAAAATAAACAGGTGCCTACATACAATCCCTATACCAACTCCTACGTAAACAACTTCCGTTCTGCTTGGATTTGTATGTTAGCTATTCATGAGGCTTTAGGCTCAGGGTCCACTGACCTTCAAAGTTGACAGGGTAAACTGAATTGTTTCTGCCTTGGGTTTAGCCAACCCCCCATGCTCAGTGCTTGGGCCCGCAACATGCTATGCCACACCCCATTCTGAGTGCTCAGTCCCCTGCGTTGATCTTCAACTCGAATCCACTTGAGCTAGGTAACAACAGCCTAAAACAAGCTCCAGACACAGCTTAGCCCACCTCAGAAGACTCTAAACGTTGAAGGTATGGAAAAAACGGAGACTTCTATGCTGTTGGTGGTTATATAAGGGCTACTGTAGGGATCCATTCCTCCATTCCCTACAAACAACCAATACAAGAAGCAGAGTCAGGACTGAAATTGGGCTAGGGGTTCAAATCCCCTTTCCGCCCGCCTTCCTGACCTTGACCAGCGCATGAGTCATCCATGGATGCAAGGCGCAATTTTTCAGATGCTTTTATTTCACGGATTTGCAGTGGAGTGTTGGGCATCGACTGGCAAGCTGGGGTGCGGGTGTAAATGTTCACGGTGAGCGCGTTCGTCAATCAGGTCCTATAGCCTGGAGCATCACATTTCTCAAAGCAGGGCTCTTGTTGTCCATGGTAAGCTTGCTGGTTCCTCACAGCCCTGCACGGCTGCCAACGGATAACGTATGGCTTCTGCGTCGTTTTTAGGAATATATTAAACATGTTTCCTTCACATTTCTTATTGGGTCTACTGTGTCTTAGTAGAATTAACGAAGCTAAGAAGAAATGAGAACCTGTATTCTGCGATGACCTAGGTGTGGGCTTGGAGTTCGGGGTTAAAGGTTTACGGTTTCGAGCTTAGGCAAACTTTTGGTTCAGGTCCAGGGTGGCCCTGGTTCTGAAGGATCCGGCATATGTTCAAAGCGTATCCTGGCTTGCAGGCCCATGCTACTTGTAGATTCGGCAATACGCAGGTGAATATGTTAGGTGGACCCCCCACCCTGTAATAGTGGTATAATAGAAATATAAGGGGACCCTAATATAATCACCAATATCCCTTGTATTGACTATTACTGGGTGGCGGTCCACCTAGTGAATACGTGAAGAGGGGCATGTAAGCCATGATTTGAGCGGTTTTGCAAGAATAGGGTACCTTGTTTTAGGGGGTTCCCATGATCCGGACCATACTATTTTGGAGTCTATCTTAAAGTCTCCGTATTGATGGAAAGATATATATATATACATATATATATATGTGTAGATATGGCGAGTCCAGCGAAGCGCGATCAAGCTCCACTCTGCCAGCAGGCAAGAACCCTAAGAAAAATAGATTGTTACCCGACTGTCCCTGAAAACCCCTTTCACACAGTGTGGGCCCTATGGTGACCAACAACACTACTCTAGTGGTAGGTTCAGTAGCATCCTGCCAAGCTGAGGATCGGTGAGCTTGGGGTTTAGGGTTTATGGCCCTTCATAGGACTTCAAGCAGGAAAGTACGGCGCGGCCTCAAGACAGCCAACAAGACTGGCAGACATGGCCCTTGCTGAGCGAGTTTGTGCAAATCTCTTTCTTTCCGCGGCCGTTGTGGTCGGGTAGTCTCTTGTCATGCCACTCAGATGCACGGTTCCATGCAAACCTGACAGCATTTTCGTCCAATGAGCCCGAAGACCCAGATGGTCAAGAGTAGTTCTGCGGAAACAGTCGCGGGTACACATGTTGGATACTGATACAAAGAATGACGAGGAATGATAACCCGGATCGGCAAAAACAGCGGCAAGGGGTACACAGGCATGAAAGCCAGTTGAAACTTCTTTGATCTTAAAATGACGCGCCCTGACCAGGCCCCTCACCCAAACCCTGACCTCTCAAGTGTGGCAATCCCACAATACTGGGGTACTGTGAAGGAACTTAAAGTAAATTACCATAAAGAGTATATAATACGGTTTCCCCAATACAATAACTCAAATTAAGCTTCTTACCAGCAACCCAGAATACTTCAATTATTTGTAATGTCTCTCGGTGGGCCCCAACCAACTATGAACTAACTACGATAGACCAACTACTCAAATAACCCCTATATAATCCCAGTTTCCATTTCATTTTCCATTTTCTTTTCCATTTGATTCTCCATTATTGGGGGTAATATTGGGCCCTAAACCCTAAATCCTAAACCCTAAACCCTAACAACCCTAAACCCTAAATGCAAAGCAGGAAACCCTGGCTCCTTGGAAATGCTCAGAGACTTTCACGGGACATGTGGATGCTCAAAGCATGATACTCAGGCTACCTGCTCACGATTGCTATGCAATCCTTCTGGGCCTCCCAAACATATTGACCTATGTTATGGAGTGAAACAACTTTAATTTTGACAATCCACACTATAGTGCAACAGGTAGAAACTACAAAATTCAGGATGCGCAGTCTACGAGGCTGGTGTGCCAGGCACTCGCTGTGTATGCCATGTGCGTGTGGATGCGGTTGCTCCGGAAATTGAATTTGAAGTTCAGGGATGCGGGCTCACTTGCAGCATGGAGGTAGCCCAACTTATGCAACACTCACAATTTGTCCTCGATGTAGTTTACGGACGGAAAAATCGTTGATCAACCTTCTGAAGAAATGGTCTTGGTATATACAGACAGCCCCAAAAACAAAGCCAACAAAGTAAGGTCCATCAGAGGCGCATGGAGACGCAGGAAGGTAGAGCATGGACCTGAATATGCAGCAACAAGCTAATCAGTCGTGAACTTTCCTTTCACCAGCCTACGTTCATGCAAACTCTGAGACCCTTTGCTGTACTGCTGCTTGAGGAAGTTAAATTAAATTATCAGTTTAAGGAAACTATGTGATTTGCTGCCTATACCTGATATGGTAACTTACTTCAAGTTCCTTAGCACCAACCCAATTTGCGCAACTAGCGTCCCGGCCTGCCCAAGACGAAGAGCTTGATCCAGAACCACTGATTCTTTAGGGAAGTGGGCAAGTGAATGGACACGAATATCACTTTTGCAGCCTGTTGTTATAGCCAATTGCTTTAATTCCCCCTAAGCTCCAGACTTTCAAGCCAAACTTCTTGGGGTTTCTATTGCAGTCGGGAAGCTCACTCCGTCACTCCCACTTAAGAATCAGTAGGATCTTCCGCGGAGATGTTCACCTGGGCTGTTGCTTTGCAATCGTCTTGAACAAAGATCAGAAGGCGCCTGGTGACCGGGCCTTGCTCTGCATGGCTCACATTGCTTTACTACTACTATTACTACGAATATGACTATGATTCTAAAGACTATTATTATTACTATTCATACTACTATCATGACTACGATCATTTGTACTATTATTACTACTACGATTATTTCTACTATTATTACTACCATCGACTATAGCTACCAGTATTCTTATTATTGTACCATATTACTATATTGCTAGTATGCCTGAACACCAGCACTTCCACCAGTCTGTTTCCACAAGGTGTGAAATTTCGTGGCCTACCACATCGGGTCAGGAAATGAAGCTTCTTCCACAACTTGGCATCTGCAACACCAAGTCGGCTATGCTATTTTCAAGCAAACTTGTCTTGTAGAAACTAGGTAGGTATAAAACGAAACACTAGTGTTGTCTGTCAAAACCTGCGGGATATCATCCGCGTATAACTCAGGATGTTCATGCCTACAACCAGTAAACCTCATGAACCCTTTTTCTACACACAGTTTCCATTTCATGTTTAATGTCCTTTTCCATTTGATTCCCGATTTTTCTAGTCAAGCTGGCCTAAATCTAAAACCGTAAACTCTAAACCCTAAACCCTCAATGAAAAACTCTAAACCCTTAAGCTTAAGCCTAAATCCTAAACTCTACAGGGATTTTCCTGCCTAGCTTAAGAAATGGGTCTGAGCCACCTGTTCTCCCAACTTTAGGATTTAGGGTTTAGAGTTTGGGGTTGATTACCATTACTTAGGGTTCGGAGGCGAGCTTTTGAGCTCCAAATTTTTGGAATTGAGGAAATTTGGGAACCCTGAGTAATGGTCAGTCTATATGGGCGTTTGGGTTTAGAGTCTAGGGAATTCTGGAGCTACTTTTAAGGGGACATAGGAGATGTATAGGGCTACATAGAACCATACATAGAACAGGGTTTGCAACAATTTGGGGACACATTCGGGGTGTTTGTTTAGAATAGGGATTTGAATCTGTCTGGGGTGCATTTTCAGGGTGTCTATTTGTGGAAATTTAACATTTTGTCTGGGAGCTTACTCACATGTGACGTTGTAGTAGGACACTAACCCTAAATCCTTGTCACGTTGGCATTCACCCAGGGTTCCTCTTCGACGAGCTATCCCTGGACATGAGCAAATGTCTCCAAAGTTGGGTTGCTGCTAAGGAGATCAAGCTAAGTGGAAATGAATTGTTGAAGAAAAAATCCTTAAGATGGCAAGTCAATTTCAGTGCCATAACAGCAATCCAGCAAAGTCATGAGGCAAACTATGGAGAAAAGCGGAAGGACCATGCGCCTGTTGGCAGACTCAAGTTTCAGGTTAGTCCGTAAACCTGTTGCGAGTTCTGATTGGTTTTCTGTCTATCGATGAAGCGCAGTAAATGTTACATTTGGCTCATTAATGCTAGGTGAGCATGTTATGCAACACTAGTGTTATACATACTGGTAACTACCAGAGACTGCGTGTTACCTGGCTATACCTTGGGTCTGCACCTACCTAGAAAACTATAGAGTTCAGGAAAAGAATAGTATCCGTCACGGTTGGCCTAGCTTGTCCCACTAGGAGCACCATCCAAATAAGCCCCCTGCCCCCAAGAAAACAACACCCCTCGAATAATGCAAACCCCTCAATTTACAGTACCGTACAACTAGGGGGCAGTTTTATTCTTAGCGGGTGAGGACATTGATTAGTACGAGGGTGGATTAAACATGTGCATGCCTGCGCAAAAAATTCTGAAATCCTGGTAATGAGGCCCTTAAAAACACGAATGTGCTGAGACGGCCTGTTTGACTCCTGTAACAGCGCCTCCTATCCAACCTGCTTCCGCGAAATATTCCGCTTGACGGCGTGCGTCGCGATGCTTCGTGCACCAGATACCATCAGCTTGGTTCGTTGTGGTCTAACCCATGATTTTCGAAACAGTGCAGGGCAAGCAAGCTCAAAACACTAGAGAACAAAATTCATGGAACTGCCTGCTCTAGCAAATGGCGTAGAAAATTGAACCTCCAAAATCACTAACTGAAGCCAAGGCTTGCAATCTACAAAAGCAGCCAAGTTGCCGTTGCATCCAGAGAAAGGAGGGCATAAGAGTCATGATAACCACCGAGTAGCAAATCTTCTTCATCATACCATCTCGTCCAAAACAATCGATCGCCAACGACGGCAACTCTCGTGGTTAGCCCCACTTCGATGCCATACAACTCCTCCGTGTTCAGGTCAAAGACAAACGCCGAACGCGCATGGTCCGGAATTCCATACAAGCGGTCATTGGCGAGCACAAGGCTATACCATTTCCAACGTCCAATAGCTACTTTCGAGGTAGGAATGCCAAACACGTCCCGCGTAGGCGCCTTGGCGTTGATCACCAGAATCCTGCCATGACAACTCCCTGATTTTGCCACAGCTGTTCATTCAACCCCGACCCCATAGGGTGGAGGATGAAAAAAAAACAAATAAGGATCAAAAACATAAACTCTGAGAATCAAAAAACAAATAAGGATCAAAAAA